TTTGTAGTGGTGCGCCCTAGAACAGAGACCCTAAAGATCGTAATCCGCTCTGGTCGGCTCCATAGACAAAGCGCGGTTACCAGCCCCAGTGTTGAAGACCCTAGACATTCTTTGTGCACAGTAATCGCCACCGCCGGGTACCGGTAGCTGGTAACCCACAGACTCGCCGCGTTTCTCCGCGGCATACTGGAGTAAATAACGGTGGAAGAGATGCACGAAGAGGATGAGCAGTTCTCTTCGGTAGTCCTCAGGAGCCAGCGAGTTATCCCCGCAGATGCGCTCGAAAATTCCGTATCGGCGGTGGTTATTTGGCAAACGTCGGACGTTTCTAAAGTCAGTTATGACATTTTGCGATTTCGGCGGTAGAGAACAAATACAGCCCAAATATGAGCTGCAATATTTGTATCATAAGTTGCAATCCTAGTGGTTCCTATGGTTAAAAGAAGGAGGAAACATGCCGCAGGAATGCATTTGACAACGTTGCAAGGTTTCATGCCTGGCCACTTGTGGCCAGTGACAGGAAGGACAACGAATCTTCCCATTTTTTGTGTTTTTTAAATTTTCCTCTGGACCAGCTACATTCTTTCAGTTTTTTGGGTTTTTTGGGAGAATTTGTGTTGTTAGTACATATGTAATTCTGTTTTATTGTAAAAAGAGACGTTTTGGGGATGTAAAGACGTATCCAGACTTTCGTTATTGGAATATCAGAACAATCACGAAAATTATCGAAATTTAAGTCTCCGATGATGGTAGTTTCCGTCTCATGGCGGCCACGTTGAAAGTGCGGAAGTGCTACGGACACGCATGCGCGGTACCACAATCCTTTCAGGGTTCCTGCATCTAAAGGACGATTAAATTCCATGACTTCCTATTACCAAATTATGAAATTTTATGACCGAAAAACGCAATTTCTTGGACTATTCGCCCTAGGCTTTTAGGTAGCAAATACAATTACAGATTTTATGCGCTTATTTCTAGAAACCACAGAGTGTTTTATGACTTCTATGTCATAATTCCATGATTTTAGTCATATTTACAAAATTCCATGACTTTTCCAGGCCTGAACAAGGGAAAACAAACTTCCGTGACTTTTCCAGGCCGCAGGAACCCTGCCCTTTGCAAATGAAAATCCCAGCACTCCTTATAGCCCAGAAGTGGCGCGTAATTTGTTTTGTCCTTGCAGCACGTGCAGTGCTACCATTGACCCTTTTGATATTTTGATATGCTTACTCGTCTTTAAATGGTCTTAATGGCGGCGTCAATGATGAAGGTCGAAAGCGACTTGATCATTTCATATTCATTGCACACGCTTAATCAATGAAGATTTCTCACGACTACATTTCGCTTAAGTGCTAAAAGTTCATAGACATGTACATGTACATGTATTTCTTACAAACTAATTCAACTGTCAACATCGTTTACTACCAATGAAATACTCAAACAGTATGAAATATATTTTGCAACTTCGCGTACAAAATACATAGGGCAGGATAAAATAAGTAGTTGCGTAGTCTACGGGCAGACCCCTTGATTTACAAGCATCTACACGAGTACTAACTGTATGCAATCTGTGATTTAAAACACTGAACAGTAACAAAATTCTTGGAAATATGAAAAAATGTGTGGTTTCAACTTCGGGCTACACTGGATGTGAACTTTGAAGCATGGTTTTTGCCTATTTAACACCCACAGCAACCTGCTCATATTTCGCTACATTAATGTGCTATAAAAGTACTTTGCATAGAAGATTGAAATATCTAATACATATATGTATACAAAATAATTGAACGTTCAGTTAAATGATTTACTTGCCTGAGAAAATCTGCATAAATACGATACTGTGCCATTACAATTATCTGAAGTCATTTGACTGGGAAATGAGACGATGTGTAAAAACCACTGCTCACTAATGCACAACACGCCATGACAAAACCTCATGAATATTTATTACATATAATGCTAAACGTATATCTTCACATAGACTGGTCACTGGTCTTTCTGTTAGAGTTTAACACGTATTTCTAAAAAAAATTCCAGGAAGCGGACAGCCCTGATAAAAATACCAAAATGCTGCATGGACGTAAACCTTCTGTAACAGCAAGAGCATCTACCAGGCGTTATCATGTCCTGACCACTTAACATTGCGCATATAAATACACGTAGCTGTTGACATCATAGTTTTTGCTCCGTACGTAAAAGTTCCGCAAGAGAAGAAAACACCACTTTACACAATCATGCCGTGGTTATGTATTAAGAATTTAAACCATACATCTTCAACGATTGGCATTGTTACTGCATATAAAAATTACTGAGTTCAGACCGTAATACTGTCATTTTCATTTGGGTGGGAACCAGACTACTAATAGACAGTTCAAAGAATAAATGACAGGGACAAACTTAACCATCAAATATAAAGTCACTGACTTCTGAGACACAGCTTTGAACAGTGAACAAAACATCAAACGTTTCCCAAAATAGCAGCTTGAAATGTTTAAATACATTTAATTGGCAAAAAGAAAATAAACACACAACTATTTCACTTTGACAACCTTATGAAGTTAAAAGGCACGTTAAATGAATTATTAAAAGGACACATGAGAAAACGGAATTAATCTACATATCTAGCTACATGTACTGAAAATATTTATCAATGTTAAGCATTTTCAACATTATGACATTTTGTTCGAAAATGTAACAGAAATATGCCATGGATTAAACTTGGCAAAGAATAACACCAAAAGACTTACTACTACATGGCTTTGGTAGGGCGAAAAAGGGTTTTGCGAAATTTGTACAGTTTTGTTTGGGCAAATCAGTTGTTACAATGAACCGGAAGAAAAGGTATGCTACATTCTTGGCAGAGCCCACACATAAAACCATGTGACCAAACGTCAGTGTTAAAAGTCCAAATACATAAATGTACTTGATCACAATTTCTTGAACAATTTCTCTCTCGTAAAGCTTCCATAAGTCTTTTATTTCAGTAAATGGTGCCACTGTGCAGTGACAGGCAACTGGGGCATAAAGTCTCATGTAAAACTACAATGGGTGAATTCATCAAAATTGCGTTTTGAGAGACTAATGCATGTCTAATAGCATTACACGTATATTGTTATTCCTGCGAGACAGATGACATGGAAAATGTCTTCACTCGAATTGATGGTTGGCCAACTTTGGGAGAAAATGTAACAAATGCAAAAAAAGAAAAAGCGCCTGAAACTGCCTGCAGATCAAAGGGATTACGTGAGTAAGAACTGTAAAACACGTCCGAGGGGCTGTAGCAAAATCTTCTCAATATTTTCAACTCAAATTACATGTATTCTCCAAATTCTTAACTTCATCTTGCTTGTTTACACCTTTTAAGTTATCAACTTACACTGTTTTGTTGGAAGAGTATATTCCTAAAAACTACTTCAAATTTCATTAAGTTATTTCAAATCATATTTGGCAAAATAATGCTACCCAGCCTAGAAAAATGAATCAAAAGTCGCCAAGGCCAGTTTTGAAATAAAGGCTTTAAAAAGAAGAATTCACAACGTAAACCTCCAGAAACCCGGAATATTTTTCACCCAAATAATGTCCAATATCATCAGGATGATTGACCAAGTGAAACATCAAAGAAAGGAGCTAAGCGTACTCTTTCTGGTCCACACTAGAATAAAATTACTGGAAAATTACCTCAAGACCCATTTGTAGGATCTGGTTGTAGTTCTTTTGTAGTTCTTTTGGTTGTAAGTTACTGATAACTTCAGTCAGTTTTTTTTTACTGAGGCATGGATGTCAAGCAAGATGGCAGAAATTATCATGTATCTGATATATACATGTAATTGCCACTGTTCTTTATGAGCCTAGTGGCAAAGAAAATTGGTAAAGATTCCTTCTGCTATCAGCATCTTAAGGTGAATTTACATGTATTCACAACGAGTGTGTCTTATTCAAGTAGCGTGGATGCAATGATGACACACTGACAATTTGAGGGAGATGCGCTGTTGTTTTTTCGGAGTGACTCAGTGGGAACCTAGTCTGTGTGCTACAGAATAAACTCTGCTGTACTGACTTGTTTGCTGTATACTGCCCTTCCATTCGTCTGGTGTCCTCGTTCTCCCTCATCTGTGGGTGAACAGGTTGACCTAACCTTTGGTATCTGAACGAACTGCCAGAACTGGATGAGTTACGACTTGACAGTGCTGAGTTCTGGTTTCTCCAGAGTGGCTGCCACAGATGAGAGTAAGGATTCCTAGGTGGGGCAGTCATGTTGCCATGGGAATCTGAATTCAGGAAAGTCCTTCCCATCCACTGGCTGTGACTGGTTTGCGAGCAACTTGGAGTTGGAGCTTGGACATGAAAATTATGCGGCATGAACTGATAATTCAGTGAATCATTACTCTTCGGGTAACCAATCATATTCTGATTGGCGCTGTGGTAGTTGAAATGTTGTTGCCAACGTCTGTTGTGATGCCATTGGTTTGAGAAAACTTCTTGGCCTTGTTTCTGTGAGACGATGGAGCTGTTCACATTGGGGGACCTCAATTCTTGTTGACTGTTGTAATCCCCAAACTGTCTACTGTTTACATCTGGTACACCTTCATTCTGTCTTCCAGCTGCCACTGGAGGAGCATATGGTGTATAGTGTATTGTATGGGGAGACAATTCAAGGCTAAATTCCTTCGGTTTGTGCATCAAAGACTGTCTACTCGTATGATTGCTGCCGTGTTGGTATTGCTCCTGACTCCAGCCGAAATGTGTTTGGTTGGTAGGCGAAGGCACAATGGATGTCTCCTGTGGAAGAAACTGACGAGACCCCTGGCCAAGATCTGTTGAATTCCTCCTGTTACCTGCAGGGCAATGAAAGTCCTGTCCAACATTTTGAGGCAATGCCAAGTCAGTTTTCTGACAATGGTTGACCAAGGAATCTTCACAAGAGTAGCTTCTCCTGGCAATCCTCTCAGCACAGTTCCTCATCTGATAAAGAGGCTGTTGAGAAGTTGATGGGGATAACTGTTCCTCCATGGAGTGTGGAAGTGATGCTCTTCTTGGAATATCAAGATCCCCTTGGCCAAAGAGGTCCTCATGCACTGGATTCTGAAAACTGGCTTCACATGGACTTTGATCAAAACACTTCGGAGAGCTTTGAAGTAGGTCTATCAAGTGAGAATCCTGCCTCCTTTTTTCGACTGCATCAGGAACTGATGAGATTCTCGGACAATTGGAATCACTGGCATCTCCCACTGGATATCTTGATTCTGATGTGTCAGATTTTTCTGACTCTCTAGAACCCTCTAGGCAGAAGCTGGATTCGCTTATGCTGCTGTTTGCATCTCCAGCAACAGTTGCCCTAATAGACCTCTCCTGTTGGCAAGGTCTAATCAAAGATGCCTTTGAACTGTCCACTTGATGTCCACAAGGAAATCCTGGCATTTGTCCATTTCCTGCGACAGCAAAGATCTTTGGCATGCAGCTCATATAGTAATCCTTGACCTGTTCGATATTTACAAAATTGTCACTATGCCTCTCCTTCCTATGACAAATATCTTGTGACTCCATCATCTCAGTTCTGGCAGTATTGTCCTCGGCGACAAAGGGTGGTGAAGTGACACGATCGGGATCTAAGGAACTCTGAGGCAAAACTGACTCCATGCAATCATTCTCAAAGCTCTTTAGTATTCTGGACGTGAAACTGTTTTTAGCCATCTCTTTCAGGGTTTCTGACATGATCTTATCTTCACCAATGTCAGCATCATTTGACAGGTCATCTAACACCTGTTCTTCCTCTGGATGCGGTGAATTGGGGTCATCTAATTGTTCCACATTTTGGAGACCCGATGAACCACTTTCTCTACATCCATCTGAAATGGCAATTTGTTCGACACTTGAAATGTTGCTTGGACTGCTTACTATCTTCTCCATTTCGGTAGTCTCATGCTTCTGCTTTTTCAAATTATCTTGGGTCTCAGTGCCATTCTCGAGGATTCCCTTCCTTTTCAGATTGGGAGAAGTCTGACTTTCAAGAACTCGTTGAATGAAGACACTTGGTTCAATGATTTCATCTTGATTATCCTTAAAGATCTGTTTGCTACTGTTCCTGACAGGATGGGCATCCTCTTTTAAAACTGCTGAATCACTGTCACTGAATGATACATTTCTAAAGGATACCTTTCCATCTCCATGCAAGATCATATCAGCTGATCCAGCATTATCAGAATCTTGATCAGTGGGAGAAACCACATTTAAGTTCATCTTTCCTTCTTTAGTAACTTGAAGAGCATTATCTCGGACTGGCTCAGGACTGCTTCCTTGAGCTGCACACTTTTCATTTACAGAGCAATCGGGCAATTTTGATTCAGTGACAATTATACCAATATCACTGGCAAGTTGAAACAGATCATCTAAAGGTTGGCCAGGGTTCGTTGGGTCAGCCTCTGCAACAGGAGATTTGGAAGCAAGCCTAACTCCTTCCACGTCATCGACACTTTCACCAACTGAGTTCTTACCTGACACTTCTCTTACATCCTTGCAGACAGACTGTGGGCCTGCAGGAACTACTTTTTCAAGTCCATCGGCATTCTGAGTTTCAGCAATTGGTTTTGCACTACAAGTTTGAACTTCTAATTCTGCAAGAGGACTGTTAGGCTTTGATGTCTCATTTCTTACTTCAACATCTTCATGATGGGAGCGTTTTTCACTGCAACCTTTTCCAACCTCCAAATCTGGCACTTCTATATCACTGCTGCTCATGCACAGGTAACGATTTTCTTTCCTGGTTGTGTTCAATTCTGAATACTTATCATTTCCTTCCACAAAGCAGCCTTTATCAAACATTTCACGTGTTGTATGACCATATGTAGGTGAGCAAGGATGGGTCTTATCTGGCAGCTGATTACAGGCAGCATTACGGACAAATGGCACTTTATTGGTGCCCATTTCAAAGCCTGGCTGATTATCTCTTGCATCCAGGTTATCTACAGTTTCATCTTGAAGACCATCAAAGCCACAGTAAGCCTGGTCAACCCATTCAGGATTCTGATAATTACGCTCATCAAGAGCCTCTGTTTTGACAATAACCTCTCCTTTGAGGCATTCAGGTTCTGCTTTGATATGAACGGACGCATTATCCTTAATGCAGTTGATGCTTTTCGCTTCATCATCATGGAGTCTCTCTTCAACTTCAATAGAATTGTGTGGATTCTCCAAAGTTTTTCTAAGAAGTGATTCCAACTTCGACTGTGGTATGTCTCCTTTGTTACTAGTGCTTGAACTTCCATGCATCTGCTCTGGTCCTGTATCTGGGCAACAAGGAGGAACAGTGGTCATACTTGCTGTTTTTAGTCCAGTGGCTTCAAAAGAACTTTGAAACGAAGCAGAGTCTGTAAGCTCACTCAGAACACCATGCTCATTGTCAACATCAGCTGAAACCAAAGTACGGTAGCTTGAGTCAAACTTTTTCATTACAGGCAGAGAATTTCGGACTGCAGAATCCTGCGTCTGTCGTAACTGCTGGTGCACTTGCTGCTGGTTGGCTTCCATTACGTCACCATGGCACCGGAAGAAGTGAACTTGGACATCAACACCAAAACTAAACCTTTCACGGCAGTGCCTACACCAGTAAGGATGTTTCTTGTGGTGCACACGCAGGTGGTATATAAGCCCAGACTTCTCCTTTGTCACAAACACACACAAGGGACACTCATATGAACCAGTCTCTGCATTACAGTTGAGGTTACGCTCAAACCTACTTGGTTGATACATGTAGTCCTCTAAAGGACGGGGAAATTTCGTTCCGGGTTGAAGGTTTGAGCTACAGCTGAAATCAGACGGTGGTCCCTCACTTGAGGTTAACATTTCAGGTTTCGGACCACTTGCAGGTTTATCTGTCTTCACCATTTCTATCAGAGGAGACTGACTAGGACTTGTAGTCAGCTCATTTGGTTCACAGGTTAAAGAATGAGTATCGATAATGTGATGCAGCACTGCAAAGACGTTCAAACATGTTAGCCCGCAAAAAGAGCAGTAGAACTTCTCCAGTTGGCAATGTGCTAAGATGTGGCTGGTGTAGAGTGGGATATGTTCAAACCACTTACCACATACACTGCAATGGTAGCAACCAGAGACAGGGTTTTTCTTCAGGACCTGTAACATTTTCTTGGCCTCAGCAAAGGTGATCTTTTTCATGCTGTGATGCCATCCTCGCTCTCCATTTGACAGTTCATTAGAGGTGGCTACTGAATCTGACCCAGGTATTGATTCTATGGTGAAATTGTTTGTCTGTCCATAGGACTCCAAAGCTAATACTGAATCAATTAGGATGTTGAAGGCATCTTGAGTATTTTGCCCTTGGTCTGTAGGTGAGGCTTGGAAAGATTTGGCATCTGGAGCAGTCTCCAAGAAATCTGCAGCATTTTGTGATGTCTCAGCATCAACACTACAAGACATCTCCTTTGACATCGGCTGCCTGTTCATTTTCTCTTCAGAAGAATGAGAATGAATAGAAAAATCCTGAGCATCACTTCCTTGCAGTGCTTTATTCTTGGAATTAAAGTCTCCTGTGTGTAGAGAAACAACTGAAGATATCTTCAAATCTTCAACAGTTAGTTTTGGTACAGAAAGAGGAGGTGATGTGTGCCTCTGACTGATATTTTCATCGGACAATGTCTCGAGTCTTGCAGAGAGTTCCACATAAAGGATTTTCTGGTTATCACAACTGAGACAGTCTACAGCTTTATTTTCTGAGTTGATGTTTGGTACAGAAATCAGGGGTGACACATCGCTAGGAGAGGATGGCAGTGAATGCTGTTCCATTAGAGAATTCACATCAGTGCTAAGATCAGAAAATTGCTCTGTGCTGTCTCCTGTTTGAAGCTCTGTATGTTGATACCCTGGAGTTTCTAGTTCAACCACTTCACTCACAACACATGAGTTTTTATCAGTTGAAGAATGGAGCTGGGTGGAGAGATGGGAGCTTGGCAGATTTTCTATCACCTGATTCTGCTGTTTTTTAGGTGCAGAAAACCTGGCAAACATCGACTTCACTTGATGCTTCGCTTTCTTGTGAAGTGCAAGAGACCTCCAGTGTCTGAACACCCTGCTGCACAAATCACATGGGTTAAAGAAATCATCTTTCATGATGTCAACTGGTGGTTCATCAAGATATTCATCAGGGCCTCCTTGCTGATCCACTCCAAACTTGAGGTGTTTCACTTTTTGGGGATGATGTGTCCGTCGATGGTTGTCAAGAAGGTTCCATTGGGAGAAATCCAGCTTACAGATGTTACATCTGCATCGGAAAGCACTGGTGCGCATGCTGTTGTCCATATCATGCTCGGAATCTGAAGAATCTCCACAAGATATTGAGGAGTCTGATGACACTGTATGTACGATAGAATTTTGAGATTGTGTTGACTTGACAACTACTTTATGGTTTATACCAGGAAACTTTTCTGCGGCTCCTAGGGATAACTCTGTTTCATCGACTAACAGAGGATGGGAGCTCTGCATGTGTACATCAAGTATCTCAGACCTCCAAAATGTCAGGCTACAATGAGGACACCTCAATTTTTCTGGGGTGTGTGAGTGGGAAGCCCTAGCTTCTTGACCATCATTTCTGTTTCCCTCTGGCCTGTCCACAGCTGCTTGTGTCTTAAACTCTTCTCTCTGCTCACCCTCATCTGACTGACTTGTGTCATCACTGGCTGTTGTGCAGCCATTTCTCCTGACATGCAAAAACAACTTAACACATTCGTCAAATTCTTCATTGCATCGAGAGCATATCATCGGCTCACTGGGCTTCTCAAATATTTCATTCCAGTGGCCCCTTACATGCTTCAGAAGAGCAGTTGCACTGTCACACAATAAGCTGCAAAAGCCACACTTGTGTTGGTTTTTGCTTGATCGGGGCTTGTCAGACTGGAAGGATCGCTGCTGGAAATTGCAACCTGCAGACCGGGGTTCTGAAGCAGTGGGGTCTTTGATGCACATGGTACTTTTAGATGCTGTATTATTCAGTACTTTCACTGGACCATCTCTATTGAATGAGTGACCAATCAACTCAGGTGACTGATTGTTTGAACGTTGTGCTGCATTGTTCTTCTTTGGATGACATGTTGCTGCACTGTGTGATATCAATGCTTTGCTGGTCTTGAAACGAGCCCTACAAAGCCGACACACAAAAGGCATTTTGCTTCGCTTGTATTCATCTGACCCAATGTGTGAAGCTATGTGTTTTTTCAGGTATCCAACGCGGTGATACTTGATACTACACAGACCACACTTAAACTGTTTAGCAGTAGCTCGACCCCAGGGCTTGCCTTCCTCTTTTTCTGTCTGAGGGAGGTTCTTCCTGGTTTTACCTCTGTCCTTTGACAATATATGCTTAGTCCTATGATGTTTGCTGTTGGTCTTTACCTCTGGACTATGTATGTCACTTGCGGTTGTGCTTGAAATCGTTTGATGATGCTTTTGTGAACCTTGTTTTCTCAGCTTACCGGTTGCTTCAGTTACCGGTTTTTCACCTTTAAAGGTTTTCATCTCTGAACTACTTCTTTTGGGTTCAGTGACTTTTTGAGAACTACACATGTGTCTGATCTTAGATTCCAAGTTAGTAAACTCCTCAAGGCATTCCAGGCACTTGTAAAGTTTCAATGAAGGCAATTTTCTTAATGATCCGCCACTTGTTCTCTCTGGGTGACAGTTGTGTTGTAACTGGGCTAGAATACGATCAAACCTACATAGACATTTTGGACACTGATACTGCTGTGACTTGGTCTTGGCTTTCTTTGGAAGTTTTTTCCTGACCACTGTCAAAGGTGACTGTAGTGTGGAAGAGGACGTCTCAGAGAATTGATTTCGAGCTATTTGCGGGGATAAAGTATCTGAATCTGGTTCACTGGCACTTGAACAATGCAAGGGGGAGATCTCAAACACAGGTAGATTTTCACTGAGTGAGTTTGTTTGGACAGTAGAAGTTAGAGTGCTCTTTAGCACGTTAGCATGTCTTTGACGTACAATCTGATACATGGGCACACTTTGGATGTTGATATGAACTGGTTGAACAGGCATTGCCACATTAGATAGATCTGCATCTGCATCAAAGTTTGGAGTAGAAACAGAGAGATAGGCTGTGGGTATACTTGGAGTTAATCCTTCGCTTCCATTGCAACTTTTTGTGGTCTCAAGTGCATACAGAGGTATCTGATTTGATCTGTGGTCCACAGAAGGCACTGTTGAAGTTGGCAGGGAATTTTCCTTGAACTCTTCTGCAGTGGCACTGGAATGTTCTGGTTCCCAAGTTGGGCTAAAAGCACTGTTTGATTTGACCGTCTTCTTGGGAGTGCTGCATTGCTCAGTGGTTTCAGATTTCGATGTAACTTGAAGATTGTTACAATTCACCTCTGTGAAGAGAGAAACTGCTTGTAGGTGGGAGCCAAGATCTGTATTCCTGGCAGATGTGGACTCATGTGTTGAAGCGTCATTTCCGTGGCTGTTGGCACTGGCAGAACTGTGTGACAACAACAGGGACGGTCGCTGAAGGATGACGGGGAGGTTGCTGTGCTTACCCAGTTTGTTCATCTGAAATCAGAGAAATTACATGCAGGTGGATAATTGGCTGCACAGTTTGTTGTTATAGAAACAGGGGTGTGAGTGGCCACTTAAAATTAATGCTGAAAACAGCTAACAAAATGCTGAAATGTAAAACGTTCTCATACTTTTGTAAAGACCAGTTGTACAAAATAACTGAAATTCAGGGTCAACATCTACACAAAAAAAGCTGAAACCAACTGAAAAGCTAAATTCTCACACCCCTGTACAAAATACGGGTACCATCAACTGTCCCGATGACCTGCTGTAATCCATAGACATGGCATACAAAGTATATTTACTGGTACAGACCTTCCCTTGAGAATCCAAGAACGTGATCAGTGGGGGAAAAAAGACCAACTTAAAAGATTCACACAGTGCCTTGGTACAAATCCAAATGGGACTACAGGCCTATGAGGCGTGCCAGTCCTACATTTGAATCAACAATTAGGAACTGGTCAATGGGATGGATGTGTACACAAAAATCCAATCAAAGGCAGTATAAGGAGCTTGGACCATTGATCCTTCTATGCACTCTCTGTATCAAGTATGCAAAAACATATGTAAACAGGTAGTTGATGTAATTAACCAACAGATGTTACGTCTTTGCAACACTTGCATACTGTGAAATACAAGGGAGTACAGGTTATCACTGCATCTTTCCTCTCGCCATTACCCTTCACTCCACTTCCATGATTAAAAGCACTTGTGGCATTAATTGTATTTTAAAGTCTAATGTGCACATTTATATTACATGCATGCCATCTCTACCTCATATTTCCTTGAAATATGCTTTCTTTCCCCAAGGGAAAATGGGATTGTTAAAATTGAGGGCTAAATCTGGAGCTACATGTAGCTAGCTCCACCAGGCTGAAATGGTTGTTGATGAATGCAACTTAACACCAAAGCTGGAGACTGCTTCACTCTCAGCTCAGTCTCATTTCTTGAACCACCAACCAAGGCCTTGCCAACTTTGACATATTTGACCACCATTTATCTTATTTTTTAACATACAACTCGTAGTGAATTCATTCTTCGGAATTTCTTTAGTCATTTCTTAGGCATGCAACTGTTTCCCCAAAGTTTGTTTAGGAGTTAAAATCCCATAGAAGGTTACTGTCAGAGATGTGACAGTTCCCGATTGTGTTTTCCCGACCAAAAGCAGTTGTGTTTGGACTACGCTTAAATACATAAGCACAATTGGATGTAGAGAGAATTTAGAATTGTTGTGCAGCAGAAATGCCATACATTGAATGTTCTCAGTTGATTATTAGTGAATTCTCAACACATGCTTTTTACAACCATTGTGTGATGCAGGACTATCGTTACTGTACATGTATGTACATGCACATGTGCTGAGTGCCAGTACGGCATAACTCGTTATCCATTCTTCGTTGTGTTTGCTTTTTCATCAAGCTTTCTTGAATGCATTCCGTGCACTATTGATGTCATGTCATATTAAAGCCGAGCATCTAAACTGAATTTGGTTTGGTTCGGTTCGGTTCGAAAGTGCCATGTTTGATAATTTTTGGTTCAGTTTGGCTGCAGCACTACTCCAGAGGAACCCCACTGAGTTCATTGGAACTACATGTAGCTGAAAACTGGCCCCTGCTGTCTGAATATACAATGTACATGTACCAACTGTGGGTCCAACTATCTGCTAACTAAATTGGAGGAATTACCTGTACCATCATCAGCCTACTCAACAAGTCAGTGGGAGTTCGGCTGCGAAAGTGCTTCAGAAATCCAACATCAGACCAACAAGGTGTCGGATATTTCAGGCATCGGATCTTTGGGCCGAAATAAACTAATACAGAATTGTTGGACTTTTGAAGCATTGGACTTATGGACTTTTTTGAAGGCATTTTTGGACTTATGAGGCATTGGACCTATGAGGCGTTGAACTCAGTTTTGTCTGTAAATTCACTGAGTAGTGAGCATAATTTATTATTTGCTGGTTTTTGCCAGTATTTATACTCATACTTCACCTATTGGCAATCACAGAGGTCTGTAATCGCTGTCCAATTTGTTAAGATCCTGTTTCATCCGAGGATGATAATACATTATATTAGACAAGATGTTGATGTCCTAAGACAAGTGTAAGCATAGGATGACAGCACCTTGAAAGTAAGTTGTTGATGACACCCTGAAATACATGTAAGATGATACTTCAAAAACTGAAAGAAATCCACATCCTGGAATTGTTGATCATGGGATGATAACATTCTGAAGATACTGAAATCCACAGGATGTCAGCATTTTGTAAAAACTATCTCAGGATGATGTCTTCCTGTGGTAACTTATTTCAGGATGTTGACAACTTGTGCTATAAAATCTTCGGATGTCATCTTGCAATCCTGATATAAAATACACATGGTATGCCAAGATCTCCACAAATCAATGGCACTTCCAGACCTCCATATAACTCAAAAATTTGATCAATCCAATGTAAATTTGAGCAAGATATTCAATTCTCAGTGCCAGTGAGTCCACGGGGAATTACCTAATCAAACCAGCAAACTACCAAGTCAGGGCTGGAGAATTCAGCAACAAAAGGTCAGTATAAAGAAACAGCACTCCACATGATTTATGTTTGACTCTTGTCAAGTGACCTGAAGGGCATTCAAAACAAGCACACATACGGTAGATTGTAGAACAAGGCAATTCCTGATGAAATCTGACATCCAATAAATCCATTGCGTGGCCTTGGCCAAAAAAAAACCTGCATGGAAGTCACTTGTTGACCTCTGCTAAAATGCCAAATAAAAATGTCCTGCTTCAGGACAGTTGGTGACTGTATGTAAGGTCCAAGGCACAGTCAAATTGGATTCAAACTGTGTAATTTACTGTAGCTTTGTCCATTTTCTTTTGTTATAGTGACACTTACAAATGTACTGTACATCATGGTTACACAAACAGTGAACCATGTGTGTGTACACTGTACATGTACATGTTACATCTTGACACATAACAAACTACTTGTACAGCACTACACTACAGGTTACTAATGAGAAACAATGGGTCTTGAGCAGAAGCACCCCCTCATCCGTTGAAAAGAAACGTGTTGGTTGGGAGTTTTCATTTTGTTGGTAGCATCACTACCCTAATGTGGGGATTTCATAGTCACTTACGAACTAGCGAAGTGCAGTTCCAACCAAAAGAGCCTCCCTTGCTAGGAAAATTGCGCCCTCTCTTGGACAGGCTCGGAGCCCATACTGTTTACCTGTACTTTGACAACTGTACACAGTGTGATCTAGTACACAGCCATACTATAGGATATTCATTCATATTCTTATAAAGGTTTAATAGAGGAAGGAATATCTATGGTACTGTTCTTACACATGCAGGAAGTTAAAGTTGCTTTAACTCTTGTTGATTTCAATCCACACTGTCTTATCAGCACAAAACATTTGGAGGACATTTCCTGTCCTTCATTAAAATTATTTATCTGTCATCACCACCTGTCATTATTTGGAGACTAATGTTGCGACTCCAAAAGTGACATCATAACATGGAAGTAAAGGAATAAATGAGCAACCTCAATAAAAAGAAGTTATTCAAAAAAGGTTTCAATAATATATGACCTACATAAGCTTACAAGAGTGAGTAGCTGACTGGCTTAGAATTTAGTACATATTTTATAACAGAGAAGACAAACTTGTCAGAAAAAGTTCCTTTGAATTTCTGAATGTTGAAGGCATCAAATGTAAATCCCTAACCATGCAAAAGAATCTGCCAATAAATATAAATCACATTTATGGAAATTTGACAATTTCTTTTTCAAAGGAACTGAGAATGTTTATGACAAAACAACTTTCTCAGCTGAAGACTGGATGTCACTCTTATCTTAGAACCACGAAAGCAATTTCTTAAAAAGCTTTCAAATTTTTATTATCCTTCACATATATTTTTGACAAATATAAATTGTACTTTTGAACAATCTTAAAAGGCTGGCAACATACTTTCTTCCATGGAGCTATAAAACTCAATGCCTTTTCCCATTCAACCCAGTATATTATTTTGTCCATTATCTTTGAAGATAAATTGACATCTGCATCACAAATCAAAAAAGTGCATGATGTTATAGGTAATAAAATATGTACAGCAGACCTTGTCATTGACAGGAAAAGATACCTATTTCCATATGAGACTAATGAGTGCAGTGCGCTTCATTATAACAAAAGGGACAATTCAGTGAATAAATCACTGTCTGCAATGATATCTTATCAAAAAGCAACAAAGTGCTGCAGGTGACTTTCTGATGAAACAGTTTCTCGCGATACTGACTTTTATTCAAGAGTTTCCTGAGATGAACTGCACAGTTGAGTAAGATTGCGTAAGTCAATGATGAAATGATTTCTCACTATTGACATTCTCTTGCACAAATGACTGACACTGGAATCTCCAAACTGAGTAACTATTGGGTAATTCCAGAAATTAGGGGAACAAAAGTGTGACATTTTCCTGTCCCTGTACATATGACCTTTGTTATTTGACATGGAAATACCACTGGCATTGTTTTCGAACTAGTACTATTTGTTTGGCTGGTAATCTGCATAATTCATCACTCTTAGAAACTAGAAAATGTGTTCTGAACTTACAAAAATCATATGTCAGATGTAACAGGGACACAAAAAAATGGACACCTAATTTCTGGACTTCCCCTCTTACTTACCTTGCAAAGTACATGCCATTACAGGTCTCTCACTGCACCATTTACAGCAAATGTACTGTACATGTACTGTGCACAAGTTGGTAGTAAAACTTTGTTGGTCAAAGAGGTGCACTTCAGTAAAGATTTGACTACTTGAGACTGACAATAGCACAGGAGTCAAATTAGCAGGCTTGCAATTAATTAGTAAGCAATTAGCTGATCCACAAATTGGAAATGACTTCAGTGGAGTCTGACAGTGCAGTAAGCCTGCACAACAATGTAATCAAGAGTGTCTGAGCTTGTGGGTGCTGTTTTTCCTCTGAAGGCATTTGATTGGCTAATTTCTTGTTATGTACACGTGTACCTACCGTAGCTGTGAAGTTCATGAACAAATCCTCTTTATTTACAACACCCTGGATGGAGGAAGTCATGAATACTTAGGTACTTCCTTCAGATGGATGCTTTGCTTGAAGTTCATTGAACTGCTACATGTTCTTGTTTGTTAGTTAGGTGAAATTGATGATAGTGCAGTTCATGTATCTTCCATGCCAGAACTGCACTGTAAATGTTTGTAAACAACTCAATACAGACATGTGCATGCACCATACCTTGGGTGGCTCAAGGTTAAGTCGACAATTTCAGGCAGGCCATAAAAGGGAAAAATTACCCTAGCAGACTTTCATAGATTTCAATGTTTTTCATCTTGCTGTTGGACATCTGGATGGAGAATCCCGACAAGAAATTTTACAAAATTTAGTCTGTGAGGTTGCATAACTGAAGAACACATGGCCTTACTGCATGTATGAGGCCAAAAAGGACTATTTTGTGATCTTACCCTTAATTGTGATGGAACGAACAAGATACTAATCACATGTTTCAGTTGTGGTAAGGTAATTTAGGCTTTGACCTTTTACTTCAACACAAGTAGGGGGCCTGCTTCATGCTTAGGTTACTCATATGGACTGAGGCAATTAGAAATTATGGAAAATGGGGTACACTATGATGCTCCAAAGGTACGTGGATGGGAAGAATGATTCTAAAACTCACTGTTTCATGCACTATGTAAGTGTTGATTTGCTGCAGCCAGGGGGGCTACAATGGTGCCAGTGGTCCAACTGTATAACAATAGCTTTTATCTTCACAATGCATATAATGCCTGGTCCCAAGCCCTTGCCTGAGGTAACAAAAGACATGATAATTACACTAATTCTTAGTATAAAACCATCCAAGAATTGGGTTTCTCAGGATAATTCCTAGGGACCTTTTTTGGTGGAAATGAAGCTTACATGCACCATCCTGCATCCTTTCATTAGAATGTACATGTACATGTATAGCCCAGTGCCACAGTCTAACCCTTCCATTAATCTTTTTGAAGCACAGTAGACACAATAGGTCTGGGTGGAATAAATGCAGAGGATCCACCCAGACCAAAGAGTACCCTCCAACTGTATCCCCCATACTTCAAATAGGTTACAGTAATTGTGCTACATGTAGCTTGCTCTGGCCAGATTCTGCATGTAGGATGATACATGTACATGTACTTTCATTATTTTCTCGGATCACCACAGACTTGGGACTTGGAATCCCATCCTTTGATCCTTCGGTGAAAGTCCTGCAAGGTACCATGGCAGCCATTGGAGGGTTATAAATTGCTACAGTCTCTTTTCCTTTGTGTTTGCTGACACCATCAGATCCCTCAATTGATGGATCAGATCTGGAAATTGTGTGTAGTGGGAACGCTAACCGTTATCAGGTGGATCAGGATCAGATCCACTTTTCTTGATCCTCCTCTGGAGCAGGATACAGATCCCCCAATTGGTGGATCAGATCCTGCAATTGGCGGATCACGATCAGATGGGAATGCAAAAGGTGGATCTGATCCGGCAATTTGACCTGTCAACATCCGTCCGTGCACGAGTGGTGCGAAACTTTTGTAGTCTGATGAACAAAGGAATATGTTTTTTGGCATGTAGCTCATGTGAAAATGTTTAATGTGCACAGGATGCATAATAAACAACTGCTGAACTACAGGCTAGCAAAATGTGTCACCACGCATGCATGATGAATGCATGCCACGATGTGTTCTTAGCCCTTTCACAATTTTCGTTGCGCATTCGTCCGTTTCTTAACCTTTTCCATTTGTGAGATTTCACTTGCTCTCCATCAAAATTTGATTCCGTGTTAGCGTAAAGCCCGCAGAGTGAAACAGAGTATCGAAATCGGAAGCAAAGTTTGAAGAGACAATGTACTAGGCTGAACATTCGGTGCGATTCTAGGTCATCACGTCAGTAGTACTCCTCACCCAAAACACTGCAAGGGTCACATGCATGCAATGTGACTGGTCCAAGCACGCAACACTGCCATAGAGTACACGCTCAGCAAGCTAGCGCATGTGCAATACCGTATTCAGTGACCTTTCGGACTCAACATGTCCGTGCGAAAAGGTGGATCAAGCGTAAGTGGTAATGTGACTTGCGGTTTCGTTGCGGTAAGATAACGATCACACCAAAATGCCGGATCAAGATCCGCCTTTTCCCAATTCAAATGGGAACGCGCTGATAGTGTCAAAGCCGGTCAACAGTCTAGCTGGTAATCCTTAATAACATTTGTAAGCAGTAAACCTATATTGTTTGATCCAAGTTGAATGAACGATAGCAGTGAAAAATTAATGACGAACCATTCAACCCATTTACTCATGTTACAAGATACATGACAACTGATCTGCGAGCACATTTAATTTCGAAGTTTAAAACAGGCCACTTAACATCTAGGCCATGTTAATTTTTTTCTTAGTTAACTTCTTATTTCTTATTAACCCTAACTCCATGGGATGTGTGCAAAATCACATTGAAATTGGAGGATTTAGCCCAGCTAAGATTAAGTGCTCCTTTTAGTTTTGTGGTCATTAAAACCAGGGTGAAAAAGACAGTTTTCTTGATTTGGTTGGGCAATACAATTAAGACTAAAACTTAAGTTTCTCCTACATGTAAATCTGAAAAAAAAGTTACAAGCACATGTAACTGAATTATTTTACCCTTTCACTTTACAATACTGCATAGTTTAGACAGCGACTGGTACATGTGGCTGGGACAACTAAAGTTCTGACAGTTATTTTAAGTTTAAAATTTAATAAACCAAGAACATACAACAATACCTGAATGACAACTCATCATGCATGTACATGTATGCCCATCTGAAGCAGGCCTTATATAAAGTTAAAAGCTTAAGGAGCTCATCAATTTATTAGCAACTTTAAGGTAAAAGCAAAGAAACGGTATGAGCCTTCATGTCCTCCATTTTTTTCAAGTAGACTCCCTAAAGGACCTAATATGGGGCTTCATGGTACTTGGCACGGAGTAAGACACTATAAGGAAGTACTGTGGTTACATGTTTGCCTCATTATTTCCATGACAGGGTGGAAATGAAATATTGTCTCAACAACATCTCATTCATAAAATGCTATCAAATGTTTATCAGTAGGCAAAGCTCATTCAGTACAATTTCCTCCTAGGCAAGCAGGTCGGGTTACTAGTGACAACATGATTGTTTAGTCCACAATGCAGTGTTTCCAACTGAGTGAGCTACATTGGTACCATACATACATTGGCATAACCACTGAAAGTTCTTACAAACACTTGGAAAGACATGAAATTTAAGTTCATCTGGGTGTGCATGCAGAACACTCCGAGTAGTTATGGTACTTTCTTCCACGCTGTTTCACACACCCTTTAAAACTTAGCCAGTGAGACAGACTATGTTGGGATCAAACGTCACACTCCATTAACTTTTAACACCTTGACTGCAGGATAGTACAAGTACATGTACATGTGCACTTATAGGCTTTTGGATTGTAAATAGAATACAGTGCACTGGCATCGCTGAGCAGTGAGAACACAAAAAATTGATACGCTGCTGGCAGTGTGGAGGACTATGTACACTGTGCATCTCTTGAATGCTTATGAATGTTCAAATAGACACCTGAAATGACAGCATGAGTACAATGTTTGACAAATGGGAACTCCCTGTGAAATTATGCGCGCCTGTCAATGTGTTAACAGCTTAAGCAACCAAACCATTAAAAAAAAAAAATCTCAGAAGAAAATGAGTTTTTTTCCTTTCTAATGATGAACTTATCCACATGAGGAAAAGGGACTCATGGGTTATTTCATATAAATAAAAAAATGCTGCAACAACTTTTCGAAGAAAAGATAAGTCATCTGAGTGGGTATCCAATTACAGAGACAGGACCTTGTGGGCACTGATTAACTAAGAGTGGAAAGTCCATTTGTGTTTTACCATATGGCGCAAAGAAAACAGAACAGGGAATGCTCAGCCAGTGTGGGAGGCCAAGCTAAGTATTGGAGACACCTGTCAGGCTGTCAACAGACAAGGTTAGTGTCATTCAGCAACCAGAATTAGACCCATTACTATGCTAGTACAGAAACTCCTAGACAGGTTACTTCACTTGGGTATGCCTGTTCTGCAAAACAGGGTGCTTTGACTTGCTGATGCAATGCTGAATGTACATGTACATGAACACTTGATGTGTATAGGTCACCAAACCGCCTCCTTTGATTAGTCTACATACTTTCCCTCTAATGAGAAAATTATTTTGTTCATTATCGACATGTATGTGCATGTAATGTACAACACATACCACGGTATGTACCTGCATAAGTTGTGCATTACAATAGTTACATTACCTCACGTGGCTTGGGTTCTGAACACTTCACAAGAGAAAAAAATGTAAGACACTTCACTGTCTAAAGAGAAGGGATTTTAAATCAAATATAAACATGTTTATGGATCTTACCTTGCTGGTCAGTAGGATTGAATTCAGTCATCCTGTAAACATGTCATTATGGTCCCATCACTGATTATTTTGCAGGTGTAATGAGATGACCTAACGTATGCACATAGAAACATTTAAAAGCATATTGAGATTCAATGTCTGTAGTCCATGTCTATTGTCCCTTTACTTTGGACCCATACCCTCGTACAATTTTACAGATTTCTGTTTAATTTGTACATTAATTGTATTCTCTTCTCAACTCCAATCTAAGACAGGGTAATTATTGCCATCAAGGGCAAATGGTTGAATTGACACAAAATCTCTTACACCCACTCATCATACTCATGGATAGACCAGACAATGAAAAAAATTAACCTAATCATTGGATTGACAAACGAGTAGATCAGATGACAGATTAGTGTGTATCATTCTGGTGATAACAATGACTGGATTTAAATATGTACCAACAGAGTTAATAAATTTTATCATTAGGACATACAGTCCTTATAATGAATGAAAGCTACAAGGTAGTTTGGAAAACGTTGGATATAAGAGTAGTGAATGTTTCTGGTTCAATTCCAAAAAGCAATGCAAGTTGGCAGGTGAAATGTTGTGACTGAACACTCCTTCCTTTCATGAAAAGAAAATATTTTAGCACAAGGCATCACAAACATTGACTGGGAAAAAGCGGGTTAACAATCAAAGTACTGCATGACCAGAGGCCTCCAGTATGTCAGTATGTGAAAGCATAAACACAGGGAAAGAAAAACATCTGGGATCAAATTTACTTTTCATTACAGGTACATGTGAACAGCCGCCAAAAATATCCATCAAAATGACAGTTCCTCCTCACTTAACCAAAAGATCAAATGTAAAAATGACACTTGGTGTTTCGCTATACCTTGGAAAAAAGCCCCAAGCCCTACCACTGTTACAGTCGAGACCTTCACAAGACCAGACATAAGAAGACCTAACCGAGTAACCTCCGCTCAAAACACAACCTAAAAATACCATGTACATTCAAAAAAGTAGAAGACAGGGCTTTTCCTGTTGCTGGACCAAAATGCTGGAACTCACTTCCTCTTAGTATTCGTAACTGCAACTCCCTACAATTGTACAAATGTAAACTTAAATCTCATCTGTTTCTACTCTAGGTTTTGGTCATCTGCTCCCACTAACTTTGTCTTAGCACCTGGTTTACTTTCCTGCAGTTGCTTTTTTCCCAGAGCATTGTAACCTTCGGAGAAATGCGCTTTGTAAATGTTATTATTATTATTAATAATAAGGCCAAGCACAAGACTGGACACAAGACCGCGCACAAGACCAGTCACAAGTAAGTGTGAAAAATGACAAAGGAATGCTTTTGTTGCACTTAACTTGAATGTACATGTAGCTTGTAACTTGAATTCTGACTGGAGGTACAACACTGGGCTCTACCAAGGAAATGTGCATGAAAATGTATACATGTGTAAGATCCAAAATGAATACTGCACTAGCCTGTCTTACCTGTTGAGCCTCAACAGGTTGACACTCAGAGAAAGAAATTCCTCACATGAGATTCTCTTCATCAATGTCTTTGTTGTTCTTAAAACCTATCACAAATTGAAAAAGACTGTGTGACAGTGGCAAAACAGACTCGCTCAGAGCAAAGAGTGGCAGTGATAACAGTTGACATGTGTACATGTATACATGCAAGGTTGCAATGCACTGTCAGCAGACAGCACCGTTCTGTTCTACAAAATGTAGGGTGCAGCGTGGGAGTACTAGGTAGAGCAACCACACACAATTACCAGAACCAATTCACTTGAGAATTAAGGAGTAGGATCTAGGATTGGGTAAATTATGGCAGGTGGTGAGCTTTATTCATTTGCCACTTCCGCTCACAACCGCTTTATCCATTTGTTGCCACTGCATCCACTTGCCCAATTTACTCATTTGCCACTTTGCCCATATGCCGCTTTGCCTACAGGTATTTGGCAAAAATTTGCCACTCCATGAACTGGTATTTTTCTGAGACTTAATTTAAAAAGAGAGAGATGTATTTAGACAGCGTTCACATGGACAGAGGGTGGAGTTATAAACAAATGACATGGACATTAAGCACAGCATGCATATGGGCAGAGTGACAACTGGGTGAAGTGACATTGAGCAAAGTGGCAAACGAGTGAGATGGTTGTGGCATAGGGTGACAGTCCATGAACATGTACATGTACTTTACTTGGGCGAAAGGCCAGAAGAAGCCTCAAGAAGTAACTGCCATCTGGTGGCTATTTTTGTAATCGTGCATTCCCCTCCTCCCCAAGGTACTCTGGACCATTCAGCAACGCCCCCCCCAAGGTCACGCTACCATGCTGAATGAATGATGGCACAAGCTTCTCTGGAAAACCACAGAGTTAGTAGGAACAGTACTCTTCAGGGACCACTGAAGGCTTTTAGCCTCAAGAATGACCTCTGTCTGAGCAGTGAGATGAAACAAGTTACAGATGTTTCATTAATAAATACTGTCAGCATCCTTCAAACAACTAGCTGTGTGGTGTGTGCGGCTCCCCGGCTTGCTTTATCTCTTTATGTACAGCTACTGTACATGGGCAGTTCCACGGTGTCAGACATACATTTTGGACACTTCAACAGTGTGTGTTATTATACTTCAAATCCTGAAGCAGATTTTGAATTTGATAAAAGACATCAGCTAGTTGGTACATTCATTTAATAACAGAATTTCTCACTCAGAATTATTATTTTTTTTAGAAACTGACTCATAACACCATGGTGTCGGACGTACTCAGAGAAAGTTAATTTTTTTGAGTTTCCATTTTTGTATCACAAACTCTGTGAATTGCTAGGACCTGAAGAAGTAGTTTTCCTGTGTTTAGTTTTAGCAGACCCTTGTTAATAAACGTCAAGGCAAGACACATTTTTATCTTGTTGTGACTTTTAGATAAAGCATTTATTATATTGGTGTCGGACGTACATTTTTTGGTGTCGGACGTACACGTCCAAACTGACTTTTCAGAATAGAAGGTACATGTAATCAGTTCAAACCCAAGCTTGACTCATTTTTCTACCTTCATGAAAACTTTAGTAAACTTTCCGAACGAAAAGAAAAAGCCAAACCATACAAAAATCATCAAAAGCAACTACAAAAGGGATTGGATGATGGGGCATTCAATGAAACAGTATGAAGGAAAATATTGTCTAGAAGTATTTTTGCAAATTTGGTCATTTGCTCATTTAAACAAGTCATGTACTGTCAAACATGCAAATTAAAAAAAAGTTTTGTACAGTTGACAATCCTTTAGATAAATAAATCGAATTACAAGACAATTGCATACATGTACCTGTAAGATCGTTTGGTCTTAGAACATAAAATTAGGCTAGCAATTAGGCTGAGAGATTATCCTTTTCACTGAAATTTAAGACTAATGGCATAATGCTTTTAAAACTACAGTCTTACATTGTATGTTTCATGATAGATACTGTACATGTATATGCCATGGAAAGCATATACAAGTGGAACACCCCCTTTCATTCCTCAAGTAACACAAAGTGAAACCAATTGATTTTACATATACCTCAAACAAAGGCATAAAAAAACACACCTTTGTTAAGTCTTTGACAATTGTTCTTTCTTGATGTGGATTACATGTACATGTATACAACACCTAGAACTTTAGTTGTCTTCATCAAAGCTCACACTGACATGACTTGCTTCTGAATACATGCAAAGCCCCATGCAAAGCACAAGTTTGTCCAAACATGACACATGTGGAATGGTATAGGGTTGTCATGAGAGTCAGTATTGATTCAGTGTTGTTACCAACTTTATTTGCAAGAACGACCGAGAAGGTTGCGATAGAATTGTAAGCTAACTGTTGACTGAATTGGAGAATTGAAAAGCAGACTAATACTGCATACTGGATACGGGATCTGGATTCTGAATACTGAGGAGCTGTACGATGATGCAGGATTTATATACGGTGAGAAACAGGATGCAGTTAAAGTCACAAACCTTAAAGAAAGGAAAGTCTTAGTCACATGTCTTAGCTGGATTCTTAGAACAACGACTGGGAATGAATAATTTCACCTTAAGACTTACAGCCCGTTCCCACTTGATCCACCAATTTGGGGATCTGATCCACCTTTTGCCAAATTGCCCGATCAGATCCCCCAATTGGTGGATCAGATCCTGCAATTGTGTGTAGTGGGAACGCTAACCGTTATAAGGTGGATCAGGATCAGATCCACCTTTCTTGATCCTCCTCTGGAGCAGGATACAGATCCCCTAATTGGTGGATCACGATCACATGGGAACGCAAAAGGCGGATCTGATCCGGCAATTTGACCTGTCAGTATCCGTCCGTGCACGAGTGGCACAAAACTTTTGCGGTCTGATGAACAAAGAAATACGTTTTTCGGCATGCAGCTCATGTGAAATTTTTAACGTGCACAACATGCACAATAAACAACTGCTGAACTACGGGCTAGCAAAATGTGTCACCACGCATGCGCAATGCATGCATGCCGCGATGTGTGCCTTGCCCTTTCACAATTTTCGTTGTGCATTTGTCCATTTCTTAACCTTTTCCTTTGTGTAATTTCAATTGCTTTCCATCAAAAAGTAAGTCTGTGTTAGCGTATAGCCTGCAGCGTGTGACAGAGTATCAAAAAGGAAGAAAAGTTTTAAGAGAGTATTTGGAAAAATAATTGGGGGAGTTAAGCTGATGTCTAGAAAGAAGGAACTCATTGCGCTTTGTATTGTAAATTTGGCAATCTTTTGCTAAAGGGTGCACCGAGGGGATAAAAACTGTGTCATTTTGGTGTCGGACGTACATAAGAAAAGTAAGTGTTATAAAATAAGACATTACATCGAATTTCAAAAGGAAAACGAAAACTCATTTCTGTCATTGTTTACTTATTGGGGCACTCTTCAAACTGTAACAAAACTGCAACAAAAAAAATTATTTCCAGGCTAAAAAACAGAAAATCTTTCAGAGGGGAAACATTTTCCCCAATTTCTCGGAATTTAAAACCAACTTTTCAGTATCACATAAAGGCCAAATTCTTGAATGCTGTTAGAAATGAAGTATGTTTCATAAAAGTATACACCATAAGCTTCGAAATGATATATAATTTTGTCACATTTGGACCAGTTTGAAATTTTGGCCCCGAGGTTGATGTTTCCGTGGAACTGCCCACATCCAGTAATCATAGAGCAAAGGGGGAATTGTAATTAACAATGCTCCTGTGCCCTGAATAAACAACTGTAATTGTTGCCTCATAACTTGGGAAACTAAATGGAACAGGTCAACAAAACCAAACTCACATCACCAATATCAATTCATTTTCAGATAGAACTGTCTTTTGGAAATTGGCCTGTGAACCAGGATTGAAGACAAATATGAAAGAGAATAAAAAGAAAACATCTAAAAGTTGCAGAAAGCAGAATGAATCAGGCATTTCTAATGTGAAAACTGTATGATTAACCCTAACACTCCTCAATCCTTCACCTGTTGGAGGACCGAGGAGTGTTAGGGTTAATTATATTAATCCTTTACAATTATTTTATCATTAAAACATAGCTGTATAGCTGCACTGTGCGCAATGATGAAGAAAATTTACAAAATCAAGGTCGAATAGACTGGCCTCTAAAGAATTTTTGGAAAGAGTTCCACAGGCTTACATCATGGACAACACCAATTTTCCCTTCAAATTTTATAGCATTAACCACTGTCAGAAAGTGATAACATGTCCAAAAAAGTGATTTTTTTTTTCAAAGAAAGTTCTGAAGCATTTACTTGGAAAACACTTCAGTTGTCAAACAAGTCTGACGGGTTTGTGCACAGGACCTCAATTGTTGACAGTACAAGGAACTCTTTCTGAATTTTTTGTTGAAAGAACACCCAGCATCCATTTTTTGCTACGCATTGATCTGGTTCCTTCCCTTTCACATGTACAATGCTTCATAGTTTTAGTGCAATTGAAAGAAAACAAACTGAGGTGGTCAGCAAAGTCAAGGTAAAAAGGTGAAGTCTAAAACTAGTTCCTATACTTTTTTCCAAGTCTTTGACACGTCATAGTCTCACTTAAAAACCACATTGCATGGAATATTCATGTCCAACTTCAAGGACAACTTCGGTACAATATGTGATTCTGGTACAGCCATTGCAACACCCACCCACAATAAAACTGAAAAGCGACAACTGCAGACGTCACAATTTTCAAACCTTATTCAGTCTTTTCCAGGAGAATATTATTAACTGCATTTCCAAAATCATACTGAATGACGGTAACTGAGCATGGAATGAGCAATTCATACCATTTTCAAATCTCAAACTAAGCACTGTGTATACTATCATTGATCATGGTGGAATAAGAACCACACTTCTTCTCTGGTACTAGTGGTAGGCTAGGAGTACATGAAGGTCAGGAACATCGGCACTCTTGTCCAAACTGTACGATTGAAGTGTTTCGGCAAAACACCGACGCTTGTTTGTTGACTGATGGACTGAGGATCAGGGATGAATAGACTCCTGATGACTCGACTGACGACCGCGGACGTACCCTGTTACGCTGCATGCAGCTAGCATATACTGCATACATACAGGCCATGTAGGCCTTCACTTCTGAGCAAACTGCTCGATGTGACGTGACACGACTAGGCCTATAGTTACTGCATTCATTCAGTCCTAAAGTTCTACTTACCAGCTTATCATCGTACGGTAGAAAGGCGCTTTCCTCTTTCCGAAATAATGCCTGTTGTTTACTGAACCTTTACATGCATGTTCTAGCGGCCCGACTATAAAAGCTTTGACATTTCACTGGTATGACATGTCTAAGTTGGACTTTTAATGACTTGTGTTCGCGCACGTGCTGGATCATGCGTACACACGCAGGGTACCCGTCACTGGATGCGGGGCCGGGTATGGCCAGCAGGTGTACTGTACATGTACTTTAATTGTTGTGCGTTGTGGCGGATTCGTCTTTACATAATGGTTCGATATCGATCAGTGATCCAAACGCTGGTTCGCACCATCCATTATGCGGGTTTTGGTGTCCGTAATCCAACGAAGATCATTGATCGTGATTCAAATCCATGTGAAACAAACACTGTATGCTCATTGAATGGAACACCGCGGACACAAGGGCACTTAGTTGAAGTTAGTCTGGGTGAGGTGGGGCGGGGAAAGAGTAGCCGGAATTTACTGGTTAATATTCACAAATCAATCAAATTCTTCAAAAACAAACAGGCAAACAAACCCCAAGACGACATAAACCATGCACAAAAACACCCATCCAAAAAACACGGCATGCTACACTGATAATCATGTTGAGATCTATAGGACGCTAAAAAATATTAGATCAATCCAAACCCTCAAAATGTGCAAAATCTGTTTTTTGACAGATTTGCCTCTTCGTCAAATCAGCTCCATGGTCAAATCACAGAGCAAAGAAACAGACGTCAGAGCGCCCTCTAGGTTTTTGTGCACCGTTCACAAAATTAGCCCGACTAATCTCTATTATACTGACTAGCCTTTTATGTGGTTGTTTTGTTGACTTACTCCGACTCGAGTGGCTGTTTTATTGCTTAAAGATTGAGTTAACTTTGCCCTGGAAAGAAAATAACTTCAGACTTGAATTGAATAAATTTGACGTAGGACTTAATTGAGTTGACTCGGAAAATATGACTTGGTAATTAAATTTCACAGATTTATATGTCTGTGGTAAGTGTAGGCTGCACATGTGAGACTACATGATGTCTCACGGGTCGAGTTCGGGCGGCCTGTTCTTGACACGATTTTCTTGTTCTCGCGCTCGCGTTCTCGGAACAGGATCACACACCCCCTCCTCGTCAGGGTTTTACGGGAACACACGGGAAAACTCGTGAGGTTTCAATTTTTGAACTGGTGCAAAAAGTAGACAGATGGCTTACGAAGCCAGAGACAACAGGTAGTTTTGCAAAATTAACATCGATCGTTTTCCGTAACACAGAAAAGAATGTTCCTGTTTAAATAGAAAAGAATTCAGCCCAGTTATCCAAACAGTAACTCTCGAATAATGGGCATGGACGTCGCCATATTGCATGCCGCTTACCACTAACTACCAGCGATAACCATTTGTCATGATGTTCCCAGCGTTCGACCCAAGAACAACGAATCACGCTGTTCGTGAAAATACGAGAAAAAGCCGCCCGAACAGCCACGGTGTACAAGTGTCCACGTGACACACAAACTAAAACGGCACTTCCACCCTCATTTGTTTGAAAATAGCGCAGACACCGATATGCACTTTTTTTTTAGATGATTTACTTAGGTCATAATTATTCCTCTGATTCATAATGAATTAAAGGAATAATTTTAGGCCCATACTATTGTTGGACCTCACGTGTGATTCAATACGGGCGAGTCATTGCAAGTCATCGGGCTTCGCGTACATTATGTAATGTACATGTACAGTATGTGGGTCCACTACCCACTAGCCGCAGCTCCGAGCGGAACAAAAGTATGGTGTACCATAAATATTTACGACACACGTTTCTGCCTCTCTCTACTGAGCCTCTTCCAAGGCCACGCAACTACACGATGCGACGGCTCCCCCCTTGCGCCGTGCCGTACCATCGCACCGTCGTCTGTCGCGTCGTGCAGCTGTCTTACGTCCTTTTTTCCTAACTAAACGTTGCTCCTTCCGTCGCATCGCGTGTTACATCGCCTGAAGCACGAAGCGACGTGTCGTGTGCTGTCGCTCTTTGCTTCAAGGTGTTTAAAGAGGGCGCCCTTACTACTTTCTTTCATTTCCGCCCCTCGTGCTTGGAAATTATCGGGATTGACTACAGAGAAATATCTGTAAGCTTACAAATCTACCACAAATGGGACTTTCATCAACAGTCTTAATAAAAAAGAGTGGAGGGGAATTTTACCAAGGATCGGCCGGGTAATTACAGAGTGACGAATTTTGGGCTTACAGCAGTTCCTAAATACGCAGATTTTCTATTCATTTTTTTTCCAATTTGTTTTTTAAAACAAATATGACAGAAACTAATTCAAATTGATCTATGGATGAAATGAAAACAAAAAACTCAACGCCTGCGGCTCAGGGTGTATTCTATTGAATGGGAAAATTTCCATGAGCTTTCTCATTAATATTTTGCGGTCCCATTGAATTTTACAACCAAGGAGCGATCATAGAGCCATATTTTCATAAATCACGAATTTGGGACCTCTGACGTTTAAATCGGCGTATTTCGCTCACAAAAACCTCCAACCCATGAGCGTATTTTGCATAGGGTCCCCGGCAACTGAGCACATAGTTTTACTACAATTCGGGGGTGTTTTCGCGTCGGCGAAGGGCGAATACAGAAAATTCGTGTGGCTATATTATTGAATAGAAAAGTGAACTTCTGGCCATAATCTTGAATTTCTAAAGGGAAGCGGGAGGCCAATCTCTTTGAGAGTCACCACGGCGGCGCTGTTTCTGTCCGATTTTGCACCGTTGTCTATGGGAGCGTATTAAGTGTCATGCAACCCTTGGGGCATGTATTTTGCAAGCACAAGGGGTGGAAATGAAAGAAAATTAATGGCACCCTCTATAAACACCAAGAAGCAAGCTAAGGGCGACAGCACACGTCGCGTCGCATCGTGCCTCAGGCGACGTAAAGCCTGGTTTCTGTCATTTGTAACGCAGACGCAGACGGCAAGAGACACGGTTTGACGTCATTCCACCCAAAAAATTAAACAAAATGGCGCCCAAAACCTTTTTTTAGGTGGCAATGTTTCCTCTTTAGGATAAACTGATATTTTAGTTTGATTTAATTTGTTAATGGTCAGCTATTTTGTTGACAATGGGGCTGCATGTGCTAGTAATAAAGGAGAAAATGGACAAAATGAGTGGTACTAATAAGCCAGAGAAACATCGTTGTACGCCCGTCATGCCAGCTTGCGTGTTTGTATAGGCTTACTCAGCGACTCAACGCAGACAGTCGGTAAAGTTGAACCGGACTCAACTTTGCCGATCTGCCTTGGGCTGGTTTGCGTTTTCGGCGATACTTCCTTTTGACATGTTTCCATTATATCTTCGTTGCAGTTTGCGTCTGGATTGCGTTGCAACGTTGACGTCGATATGAAAACCAGGCTTAATCCGGTTCGTATTTGCCACAAAGGTAAACGCGCCACGATTTCCAGGCTCTCGTTGGATAATCGCTGAAGGTGTGCGTTAACTTCCGGTTCCATATGGTTCCATGTAAACGGCGTAGTTTAAACTGAATTGACGTCACACTTACGAACCGACGAAGCGACGTACAACACAACATAAGATGCGACGCACGACACCGGGTGCTACTAGTACGCGACGGACGACGGAAGGAGCGACTTTTAGACAAAAAATGTACAAGGAAAGGGCGTAATTAGGACAGTCCCAAGCGACAGGCGATGGCACGACGCTTGTGTACAAACGTAATAGCAAGACGGCGGCAGCCCAACGCAACGGCACGATGCAAGGAAGCCGTCGTGCCGTTGCGTCGTGTCATCATTGCGTCGCCTAGAGAGCGGCAGAAATGTGTGTCATAAATAGTACACCATACCTTTTTAGGGAACTCATTCACTGCGTGCGGCTGCAGGTTATCATGCATGTTGTTCGTTCTTTCCTCAGTGGAAAAGCTGTACAGAATTAACGCCTTTGCTATATTTATCGGCAGTAGCCGGCCCTACGCGTCATTTTCGGTCACTAGGGGGCCTACTTCCACAGCTTCACATTCCAATTCGGTCTTTTCATAATTCAGTTTGGCAATTTCACCATTCAATATGTGACTTCCCCCGACTTGGCAGCCATCAGGTCAACTGTTGCAGGTTCTGTCCTTGAAATAAAACCCTAAAATAAAACCTGCTTGTTGCATACAGTTATAATAAACCTTTCAGTGAAAGGTTTATTATGAAGTTGGAAACTGGTGACCAGACCACCAGAAGTTGGAAGAACAACCACCAGAAGTTGGAAACTGGTGAAAGGCTTTCACCCGTTTCCAACTTCCATGACCAAATAAATCTCAATTGTAACCAGACTGCGAAGCGGGTTTAACATGGAGTAAGGATTCAAATTTATTTTGGCCTTCCTTTAAACGAGTCCAGGTGTTTTAGCTGTGCATTTGTCACAATGGCTGGTCATGGCATAGGCCATTAGTTTAGATGACTTAAATCATTATAATTGGAATTTACATTATAAACAAGTTAATGTTTAGTGCAGCGGGTGGCAAAATGTGTTTAGGGTCGAAAGCGAGCCGAACCTGCATCCGGGACTTTTGAGCCACTCATGACGTCACCAAGATTGGCCGTTTGACTACCGCCATTTTCTACAACGTCGTTCCGCTCACAAATAAATCGCTTCAAAATGCCTCGTCCTAGAGGCCCTAAACCAAGATACCGATCAGAGGGACAAGATGGTAAGTTGTTCAACTATTAAGGTTGAGAGTTAAAGCTAAAAAGACCCGGATGTGAGAGGAGAAAATGGTAAAGAAGCAGCGAATCTAGGCCCTTGCAGCGATGTAGTTCCTTTTTATTTTTTACACTGAATCATGTGAACAACAGGTACAATGTGGTTAAGCAGTTTGTGCGTCACGCAGATGTCTTTGTGCGGAACGATACGCACGTTCTAAATGTTTTCAAGATATTCTTGCGAGGGTGAACTGTCCAAAAGTTACTAAATCACCGTCTTTGTGGGGAAGTGCAGTCGACAATGCTGTCGAATTTTGTGGTTTAAGGGTAACATGATCATGTCAAATGTTGATTTTGATTCATGTTTCTTGTTGTCTCAGTTGTCGTTCAAAATGGCCGTGATCATGGTGGTTGTTTTTGTTGTTAGCACACACAACGCTGTGTCTTTCCCGTGCGTACACGTTACACGTACAGCTACAGGGGCCTGCATCAGTACAGTAGGCCCACATATGGTTACACGTTCATGAAAACGTCATTCATGTTCCACGGCCTATACCGCGGCCAACAGTTGATGTCCCAGTGCACAAACCTACGCCTATACGAGACTTGTCTGAAAAATCTAATGAAGTATTTTAAGTAGGTTTATAGGCCTAAATGCTTCGAAAGTTTCTCAGCTAAATTTCACTTTTTGTGACATGTAGGCCTAGGCCCCCCTTATACATCGATATTGTTTTGCTAGGCCAAACTTATCCGTCACTTCTGTAACATTTTCAAGTGGAAATTAGTGTTGTGTGTATGCATGGAGGAAAGGAAAAAAATGGGAACTCTTTCCCTCTTGGCTCTTGGTCGATCATGGATGCATTGAAAATACCCTTATTTTTGGTTGGCATGTTGTTCAGTGGTTTGGTCGTGGTAGTGGAAGCACACAGCCTCCAAACTAGCTCTTGGCCTACTTTAGTACTTATTCGGAAGGAGTTCCATTAGTTCCAACACTTATATCATGCTAATTTTTCCGTAAAACTTTAAATGGTTACAACAGCCATCAGAAAGTGATAAAATGTTCTAAAAAGTGAAGAGTGTTTATTGTACTAAGAAAACAGGTTTTGGAAAGATTCCCACATGTGGATGCCACTTGCACAACCCTATGAGACTGGTCTGAAAAATTCTCAGTGTTTTCTAAGTAAACGACTTGGTTTTTTCTTCCTAAATTGAACTTTTCTGGACATGAGGTTGCTTTCTGGCATCCATATATAGACCTCTTCCCCAGGTTTTTTTCAGACAAGTCCCAGGTTTGTGCATTTGAAGGGTATCAAGTGTTGTCCGTGTATGGAACTATTTCAGCGCTACCGATCATGTTTGTCAATCATCATGGATCTTTGTATTACTCAATTCAGTTTTTGGATTGAGGGGTTCCACAGGGCTCCTGCCTGGGACCCTTATTATTCATTCTGTACACTAGTCCTTTACTTGACATCGTTAAAACCCACCTTCCAGATGTTCATTGTTAATATGCTGATGATAGGCAGTTGTACATTTCTTTTAGTCCCGACAATTCTGCCTACCAAACGATGTCAGTAGTTGCAATGGAATGATGTTTTAAAGAGTTACGTAGTTGGATGTAAACTGGCAGTCTCATGTTGAATGATAGTAGGACTGAATTTATGATTATTGGAACACGTCAGCTTTCAAAAGTTAACACTGAGTACGTCCATGTTGGTGAACAACTAGGGTTACTTCTGATCCAGTTACATGTAATTTAGGTTCATGATTTGATGAACATGTCTACTTGTGTTTTAAAGGTATGCGGTAGTGCTGTTTATTACTTGCACAACATCAGATGCAGTAGATTAGAAAATATCTGACCACTAGGTGCACTGAAACATTGATCCATGCTGTCATTTCTGGCTGATTGGACTACTGTAATAGTCTTTGATGAGGTCCACCTGATTGTTAGATAAATCAACTTCAACAGGTACAGACTACCTGTGTTCGACTTGTTTACAAGTTATAGAGGTTTTGTAATGTTTCACTATTGGCTTCCAGTGAAGTTTACAATTTTAAAATATTAGTGCTGACCTATAAATGCTTCCGTGGTTTGGCTCCAATCTATCATAGCCAACTTTATTGTAAAGAATGGAACTGTCATTTATCTGTGACTTACATGTACATTACCATAAATTAAAGCACATGCAGAGATTGGTTGATAACAAACAAACACCACTTTCTTTAGAATGAATGCATGATCACACCACTATGTGTTTATTTTGAAAGAAACTTTATAAGTTTTGATGGAAAAGAAAGTTTGTTCAGTGTACATGTATTGTCTGGTTTGTCACAGTTCCTTGGTTGGCTGTACATCTGTTGATGTATGATGTTCTTCACAATTTTGGAGAATGTTACGAGGTGCTAATTTGTATCAACTGTAATTATTCTGCCATTTTGTATTACACAAGCACCTTTGTAAACAGACCAGGTGCTTGACAGTAAAAAAGCTGGCAAAATAGAGTCAGGCTAACTCACTTGTTTGCCCTAAAGTATTTTGGATACTTTAAATGTTATCATTGCTAATTTGTGCTTGGTGCAAATACTAATTTGGTTTCAGGAAGTAATGTTGAAGACAATGCTGGTCCCAAGAGCCCTGGCATCGGGCTTTATCAGTGTGAAGTGCCATCCTGCACCCAAGTATTTAACCGTTGGAATCAACTTAAACGGCACGAGCGTAATCACGCCAGTGACAAGCCACACCGGTGTGACAAGTGCCCAGCATCGTTCAACCTGGAGTATAACTTGATGCTGCATAAGGCCACACACACCATGGACAGGCCTGAATGTCCTGATTGCCACAAGACGTTTTCACGTGTGGCTAGTCTCAAGGCCCACATCATGTTACATGAGAGAGAGGAGAATGTAATGTGTGCTGAGTGCGGTGATGAGTTCAGTCTACAGGTGGGTGTCAAATCTCGCTTATCTGCCTTAAACATTAGTAAATGATTAATATCCAAATACTAATTCACTTTGAGGATATAAGTTGAATATTCTATCATTTATTAATATTAATCTTTACTTCACCTGTGGAGGATTCAGATTTCAATAGAGGGTTTAGTTTGAAATTTTTCTTTATACATGTATACAACATTACATAGTGTACCTGAGAACAATCCTGAGATGTACTCTAAAGATAAGTTAGAATACAAGTTAGAAAACTGATTAACCTAAAGAGCTTTTCAAACCTTGTTCTCTGCAATGAGGTTTTCAGAATTAATTGGGAGAGGCAAGAATTGTCTCAATTCTCAGACATGAGATCTATTTGGTAACCAGTATTGTGATATGGGTTGTTTTGATGGAGCCAGTTGTAATTTTTTATGGTTACTCTTATTTACTCACCCTGTCAACAGAGTCAACTTGATAAACATCTTCAAGAACACCAGGCAGAGGCATGTGGCTCTATCTTTTCTTGCAAACTGTGTAATAAAGAATTTGCTGTGCAATTTCTACTCAAAGAACACATGAAGACCCATCAGAAGATGATAAGGTAAGACATCAATTAAAAGCCACAATAGGTTTTAATTGAACAATTGGTTCAACAATGTTTTCAAAGTATTTTATAAGGAGATTGAGATATTAATGAGTCCTAACTGCTTTTATGTTAATTTGGGAGGCACGACAGTTGGATCTGAATGAAGTCATTTCCTTTTTGTTTGGAAATGAAATCTGCCTAAAATGTTTATTTTTTAATCAGAAAAAAATGGCCATTCATCAGTATTGGTCTTTTCATTTCTTTTATTAAAAATTATGTGAATTTTCACTTTGAAAAGGTCACGTGTTTCAAGTGGGCAGACACAGTCCAGACGAGTCGTAGACCGCAGCATGTTTCATCAGGAATGTGAGTTCTGCTTAAAGACTTTCAAGAAGCCCAGCCAGCTTGTCAGACATATGCGTATCCATACTGGTAAGATGAAAGTACTGGTCAGTAAAAGCTTAGGTCTCACTTTACTTGTAACATAGGATTGTAAAGAAATCTGAGTGTGCTATCAACTAGGGGTGCAAGAAGCCACTGACACCAAATATTTACCATAGTACATGTCTACTAACGAATAAATTTGGGCACAAGTCAGCCCTGGTTCAGGTTCCAGAATCTGACTGTTTAGACTTGTAATACCTCTCGTTATTGTGAACAAAAGGTAAGCCAATACAGGTGATTCACAATAAAGCACCACCAAGAGTTTGCATCACATTGGCTAATCATAACGCATGAAATTTGTCAACCCTTTCCAAACGTACATTGGGTTGACAAATTTCGCGCATTGCGATTGGCCAATGCGTTGCAAACTCTTGGTGGTGTACTATTTGGAAACGGCTGTATTGGAAATGTAGCCCTAAAATGAAAGATAGGACTAAGTTAGGAGATTGTCAGAATTGTACCTATCAAAGTGAACCTAAATGTAGGGACTATGTATAGCATGTGGACATTTTTTGAATGAATTCAGTGAATACATATTTGTACAAAGTTTCATCATGTATTTTCTGACAGCATTAAAACTGTCTTTGAAGTAATGTTGCAGCAGCCATCAACATCTATCATTCCATACATGTATGTGGTGGTGGATTTTCTGTTCAAAATGTGGCATTATTACATGCCTAACTACATGTACGTTAATTTTGGCAAAAAGTTAGAGAAAGAGAGGCTTTTTTGTTGAAATGACTTCTTATGTAAAGTCAGTCTATTTTCTTCAGATATCTACAAGACTTTAAAAGTTTGGCAATACTTTAAAAGTGTGACATTGAAGTGCTGTGGGAATTCTATTTTCTTGGTTTTTTTTTCTTTCAGGTGAGAAACCATACAAATGTGATGTCTGCAGCAAGGCATTTAATCAGAAAGGCTCCCTTCAAATCCACATGTCTAAACACACTGGAGACAAACCTCACCAGTGTGAATTATGCCCTTCAGTCTTCTCTCAAAAGGGTAACCTTCGAGCACATGTGGCTCGAGTTCACAACCTCAACAAGGAAGTGGCACTGTATCAGTGTGAGGCATGCTCCTGTTCCTATCGCAAGCTTGGTAGTCTGAATTCTCATATCACCCGTGTACATGGAGGACTAGTGAGTACAGAGAAGGAGAACGAAGGCACAGAAAATCTTGCAGAGGGCTCGACATCCCTTCAGCTGGATGGTTCAGTGTTGCCGTCTAGTGTGGTCAGTGATGTCATCCAACAGTTACTGGAGATCTCTGAGCATTCAGAGGAGCATTCTTATGCCCATCAGCAGATCCAACAAATAGCAATGGGAGCAAGTGGTAACATCAACACGGACATTTTGCAGCAGGCTCTAGAGAACTCTGGGGTAAGCAATGACAAGCAAGATGGGTCCACTGAAACAGCATCAGCCAGTCGTCAAGTGGCAGCATTTGCTGAACTCTTGCAAAAACAGAAGACCCTACGCCTTAGACGTGGTCGCCTCCACTCCTGTAAATATTGCACCAAAACCTTTAAGAAGCCAAGTGATCTGGCAAGACATATACGAATTCACACGAGGGAGAAACCATTCAAATGCACTCAGTGTTTCCGTAGCTTCACCGTCAAAAGCACCATGACAGCGCACTTGAAAACCCACACTGGCGTCAAAGAGTATAAGTGTCATGTTTGTCATAAACTGTTTGCCACACATGGCAGCTTGAAAGTCCATCTGCGTTTGCACACTGGAGCTAAACCTTTTGATTGTCCACACTGTGATAAAAAGTTCCGTACCACAGGGCACCGCAAGACACACATTGCATCCCATTTTAAGGAAAATTCTCTACGAAGAGCCAAGCCAAACCGACAAAAGCAAAAACCTCCACGCCCAGAGATAGAACTACCAGATGTTCAATTGCAGGAGCCAATTTTGATAACGGACACTGGGTTAATTCAGCAACTACCGCGCAACAGTGCCATGTTCAACAGCGATTACAATGGGTTACAGCAAGGCGGCAGCAGCATTGACAGACCATATAAATGTAGCTTTTGTCCAAAGAGCTTCAAGAAGTCTAGCCATCTCAAGCAACACATTCGCTCACACACTGGAGAGAAACCATTTAGATGTCTTCAGTGTGGAAAGTCTTTTGTGTCCACTGGTGTCTTGAAGTCTCACAGTCGCACACATTCTGGGATCAAATCTTACAAGTGCTTGATTTGTTCTTGCACTTTCACAACAAATGGCAGCTTGAAGCGGCACATGTCTACACACAGTGAAGTCAGACCATTCATGTGTCCTTACTGCCAGAAGACATTCAAGACATCTGTGAACTGTAAGAAACATATGAAGACACATAAACGTGAATTTGGTCTACAAGCTTTGGAACATGCATCTGCTGCTGCCCAGGATGCAGAAGGGAACGAGAACACTGCACAAACACAGCAAATACAGACTCAACCAACTACTCAACAGAGTATTGTGGATCAGCTAGCTGCTGTAAGTGCTGTTCAGAACCAGGCATCTTTGTTGGGCCAACTTAATAGCCAGACACAGGAAGTCTTACGACAACAGGCTACGCTAGAATCATCTGATACTAACCTGTCTTCGCAGGCCTTGACACAAGGTTCACTCACGCAGTCTAACCTGGAAGCTCTTACAGCACAAGACTCACTGACGCATGCAACAATTAACAGCCAGACACTTCTGCTGACTCAGCATCTGGCTAACTTGGCCAATAGCCAGGCAGGATTAACTCAAGAACAACAGATCAGTCTTCAGACACAGCAGATTCAGCAGCAACTTGAAGGCTATCACAGGCCAATCCTCAAGTATGTTTCAACCTAATGTTGTAGTTCAGCCAGATCATATTCCCACTCAGACTGTCAACCAGAGAATGCGGCTCCTGCGTGCTGAAATGGAGGATGGAAAAAGGACATACAGATGTGGTTATTGTAATAAAGCTTTCAAGAAGTCCAGTCACTTGAAGCAGCATATCAGGTCTCATACTGGTGAGAAGCCCTACACCTGCATTCAGTGTGGCCGATCGTTTGTTTCGTCAGGAGTGCTGAAGTCCCACCAAAGGACCCACACTGGAGTTAAGGCTTTTCAGTGTAACATTTGTAATACAACCTTTACTACAAATGGATCTCTAACTCGTCATATGACTATTCATAGTGATGTCCGTCCATTTGACTGCCCAAATTGTGATGAAACCTTCAGAACAGCTATTCACTTGAAACGCCACATTAGGTCAGTCCATGAGGAAGTGGAGCGGAATGCTAGCTCAGAAAACCGGCGAAGTAGAAATGTGCTAGTCTTTACAGAGGAACAGACAAAGGAACTAAAAAAGACTGTGCCTCCTCGTAATGCTAGCGTATCCGAGAGGGTTCTTATCCAAGAGGTCTTGGAGAAAGATCGCATTAGTGAGATAAAGGACAAGAATGAACTCTTGGAGAAAGGCCCAAAGTTTGCCAACAAATGCGATCACTGTCCAAAAAGTTTCAAGAAGCCCAGTGACCTTGTAAGACATATTCGCATTCACACTGGTGAGAAGCCTTTCAAATGTGATGAGTGTGGTAAAACTTTCACTGTGAAGTCCACTCTGGAATGCCACATGCGTACACACAGGGGAGGAAAGAGTGTCACTTGTCATATCTGTAGAACTGTGTTTGCCACTAAAGGTAGTCTGAAAGTCCACATGCGCCTGCACACTGGAGCAAAACCATTCAAGTGTCCACATTGTGATGAGCGTTTCCGTACATCAGGGTCAAGAAAGATGCACATCATGGCACATTTCAAGCCTGTAACCACGAAGAAGGTTGGCAAAGCCTCACAGAAATCAGCTACCACAAATGCCGACCAGCAGTACAACCTTGCCGAGAACAGTAATGCACAAGCTGCTTGCTCTGTATCTGTTGATGAAACTGAGCCCACCTTGCTTCAGCAGCAGCAGGCTTTAGCTGGCCAAGCTCAGGTCCTACCCATCACAATTGCTGGTAATGAAGGCCTTACATTTGGTGATGGTGGCATGGGAGCCACAGTTATGCAAGGATTAGAAGGCCTTCAACTCCAGCTGACTGCTACTAATCTAGGCCAGGGTCTGCAGCTACAGGGGCTTGATCAGAGCATCACTGTACAGATTGATCCCAATTTGCTTCAGCAACTCCAGCATGGCAGCTTGAACCCAATTATGCTACAAGCTGGAGACTTGAATCTGGGTCAGATTGGTTTGCAGTTGCCTCAGAGTGATCAGGCTTTAGCAACCACAACTCCTGACCCAACCCTCTCTCAATCAGCCTTTACCCAGGCAGCTGACCCCCAGCAGCATCTTCTGGTGCGTATTGACCCCAGCATGCTGCAAGTGCCTGTGGAAAACTCTGCAGTAGGATCCAGTGCAAGTGATTCTACCCCTGTCTCACTGGACACAAATTTGATAACACCAACCCAGCAACATGAGCTACCAATCATCCCTGTCTCTTACAGTTCTGGCTCATCACAATCATCCACCTCTCAAGTCTTGATAAATACCAATATGTCCAGTGTAGACCAAGCGTTAAATCTTAGCACTGTCACCAGTGTGGGTGGAGGTCTGTCTGAAGATCTAACACAGCCTGTCCAACAGCTGACTCAATCTCTGGACAACCCGAAAGAGCCGCAGATGGTCATGTCTGATGTGGCAGGGGCTTTGGCCCAGTCTACAACTCCGATCACGTCACTAGTAACTACCCAATCATCCATCATCACCTCTCAGACAGATCCTATCATCAACGAGATGTTGCAGACTGTTCAGGATGAACGTTCCCTATCTCTTAGTGATTCAACTCTCACTGCTGACCCTTCAAATGTTGGTCAGCAGACATTCCGACTCTCTGTTGGTGGAGAGACCATCAGTCTTTCCCAGAATCTTGTCCTTCAGCCTGGTATCGGGGCCATGAGTGGGACCACAAGTCAGTCTTCACTCACTCAACCAGGAGACGCTAACACAAGCATGGGTCAGAGTACCATGGAGGTACTGAAAGTCAACATTTATCAAGACCCAGAGCAGGATGCATCTGGTAGTAGAGAAGTAAGACGTGATAGCACATCAGATCCATCTCTGTCCAAGCAAGGAACTTTGTCCGTAGCTGAAGCTGCAGCCTCCATAGGTTCACTGTACACATGTAATGCACAGGACTGTACTCTGGTGAGTACATATAAATACAGAGTATCAATTCTTTATTATAAGTGACAGTATAGCTTACAAAACTGCTTCATGACATTGCTTTGTGGTTAAAGAAAAATCTCCTACATCAAAAAGATTTCTTAAACACTAAATATCCTAAAAAGTACTCTTTAAAATTCCAACAAGGGAAGTTGTCCATGTACCATACAGGTACATGGATAGACACTAGTACTCAGTCTCTCCGTTCTGGAGAACTGTGCATGCAAATGGTACATGTACTTTCTCATGAAAATGTTTAATTCATCAAAGAATGAGTTTAACCAATTAGTCTGAAAATACTTGCACATTTTACTGATCTTGTTGAAATAATCTTCATACTGATACCATCATGTATTTGAAACCAGTTAACGAAAACTTGATAATTGTCCATCAACAGGTGTTCACATCCATGAATCAGTTACGTAAACACCAGAGTGATGCTCACGGTGACCTTCGACCCTATGTGTGCTCCATCTGTAACAAAGCCTTTAAACGCCATAGTCACCTCAAGGAACACGAAGCCACTCACCTACCTAAGACCCCAAACACAAGAGGTAGCAAGACTACTCCATTCAAATGTGACGTGTGCGGGAAAGGCTTTGGCAAGCAGAGCCAGTTGCAGCGACATATCCGAATACACACAGGTGATTAAGAATTGAGCCATCTGGGGCATGTACCTAGCAGGTGCTTTGGGGAACACTATCATGTAATTGAAGCAAGCTGTAGTGTATGAGTCTTGTCACAACAACCATTTGAAGTCATTTTCTGTTTTAGATTTCTTTCAAAACCTCAGTGTTAAGTGGTGCATGCATGTAAAATTTTCTTATCTGTAAAAGCTCAGTTTCATGATTCAGTGTGTACGTACTTTCCAATACCTAAGATTTCAAGAATGATCCCTTTGATAGCAGATCCAGTTAAAACAGGTGTTTACCTATTGAAACACTGCAAAGTATCTGAGATTTTTTGTTCTTGTAACAGCTTGTTTGTTTAATCCTAGGGGAGCGACCATTTACTTGTCCTCAGTGTGATAAGGGTTTTAACCAGAAGAACAGTCTACAGATGCATATGATGAGACATACAGGCGAGAAGCCTCACCAGTGTGAATTCTGCAACATGGCATTCTCACAGAGAGGTATCATGCATCTATACATAGTCTAAGCTTCAACATTAGAGAATTAATTCCTCAGATATGATAGACTGAAGGCTTGTAGTATCATTGGAACAGAGGTTTTTATTTTTCAATTTTTGATTTGAAAAGGAACAGTTGTTAAATCTTCACTCAATTTCCATTTGTAAATGTTGCTGTGCTTGCAGGTAACCTAAGAGTACACAAGATCCGAACCCACAATGCTGCAGCTTTTGACCCAAGTCAATCAATGGCTACCGAGATGGAGGACAGCCAGGACATGTCAGAAGTCATGGGTGCTGTCTTAGGGGGGAAGCCCAGTGTACCTCAAGAGTCCATTGACCTGGAGAGTATTGTACCAAACCTCTTCAGTGAGTGAAGTGGTTGATGGCATAAAATACAGAGTACATTTGTAGGTACTGCAGATGCAGTCCTATAATTACGGTCAGATGACAATGGAGTTGATGAACACATAAAAGTAACTGTTCCTTGATCAATGTGTTTATTAGGCAATACGCAGCTGAGTACCAGTGACACATTTTGGCTGGTCCCCTACTTTGCCTGAACCAACTTTTTCCATGCTCAGTAAACTGACAGCTTTGATAGAACAACCATGAGATTGGCAATACCTCAGCTCATTGTGCAAGGTGTTGCTTCTTGCTGCTTAAAATAGCATTCATAAATACCTCAGGCAGTCTCCGTATTCAACAACGTCCAACTTGATGGTGTATGAACATTTGATAATGCCTGCTGAGAAGTGATAATGCTTGCTGCGTAAATCACGTGCTGGCACCTTGATACGAAACAGTTCATTTGATTCTTATTAATCATGAGTCTGGGTGCACATGGTTCGCCACGTGAGTGCAAGTGGACAATTTGCACAAGGAGTATGCCACAAAATGGACAGTGATGTTGGGGAAATAAAAGTAAAATTCTAGAACAAAATCGCTGGAAATCCATGTATTGATTTCTTTTGACTCCAACAAAAAGGTATTTATGAATGGGCATAATTACATGCAGGGCAGGTCTTAAACTAATGTTTTTAAGACCGGCTCAGGAAACTGAAAGCTGATAATGCCCTCTCCTGCGGCTAAGGCATTAGTCGCATCCATTCTCCTGAGCTGGTCTCAAACACACGTTTAAGACCAGCCAAGCACATATTTATTCCCCTAATCATTGTGCAGCATCTTGCGGCACAAATTTTGACTGGTACTTTATTTCTGTACACTGTACATGTATATGGTAATCTCTGTTTAGTTCTTAGAAGTCTGTGCATGCCTTTTTGTCAAGTGTTATTCCTTTATTTTCAAATATTGGTATGAGATGGTATATTTGAACAGAAAAACACCAAATAGGGTTTAAGTTCTGGTTTTTAAAACATGTTTCAACTGCTGAGTTTTTTTAATAGAATTTTTGTATGCAACGCCTCCCATGTCCGATGTTTTAACACAGTTTTCTAACTCAGTTTTCAGCCAGCAAGTATTTAACCTGACCAGATCATGAAGTGTACGTGTGTAACGAAGGAAACAAAATGGTAGAGATCACATTTCTACTAGTTATTCAGCATTACAGTTGAAGTGGCTATCTATAAGTTCACCCTTAGGAAAACTCACACTGTTAGTGCTGCAAAACCTTGTTCAAAGAAAAAGGGAATGCACATTCAGCTACATGTACACTGTTTTATAACACTTGTATAATAAGAAACTATTTTTGGTGTGAACTGCCATAATTAGTTGTTCCAGTTGTTAGATAAAAGTAATTTTTAAGTTCTGTGGATGGAAATCATCAAGGGTATTTAAAAAAAATGGAGCATGCTGAAATGTAGTCCCCAAGATGTCTGCTTTTCATTTCTTTTGCACTTGGTTAATTTATAACTTTTAATTTTCACAAGTTGTTCATCTTTTATTCCAGTTGTGATAGACACTGATACTAAAATGTAGGAGAATTCGAGTTTAATGTTCAAACATTAACAAAGTCATAGCATCAATTATTTTGAACAAAGTCAGAAAGGTTGCGAAATCAATCACACCCATATAACAGGAATCTTTTCCCGTATTTAGTTCAATTAGTACGTTAGTATTTTTATATCAAGTTAAATTGTATAAAATTTTTGTATACAATTAGATTTTCCTCTGAATCCACTGCATATCTACCAATCTTCTCCGTCACACATTTCGCTTAACTTTTCAGTTCACAACTTATACATGTACAAAATAATTACAATTTCTTAGACAAGCTTTAAACAGTGAAAACTAAGTCAAGGTTGAATGCAATCATTAACAATTATGTAAACCATTTCAATGCACTCGACCATAAGTCTTACTTTTAACCAATAGTTTGTTCAAGATGCATGCATTACCTGTTTGTGTTTGCAGCTTTTGGGGGTAAAACCAAAACTGTTGTCAATTTAAGATTAAACCAAAAGTGGACAGCCAGTGAACCTGTCAAAATTGTGTAGTGTCGATCATCGGTTATTTATTAGTTTTAACCGGACAAACTGGGCTGCAGGAGAATCAGTGTTGGTTTGATACCACACTAAAGTCTTGTGTGATTGGCCGCCATATTAATGTACAGTACTGTATAGTATGTAGGACACTGGAAATGCAACCTGGAAAACTTGACAATGTTTGAAAAACAGTTGGAAGAATTTGCACTTTCCTGCATGAAGCCAAATCTGGTTTAAGGTCAAAAGGCACCCTTTTTGGATTCTGAGAAAATGTGCCACTGCAGGTCTTGTGTAGAAATCAGTGGTTGGCTGCCAAGGGACAATCCATGGGTATCCAGTTTCCACAGGTGGACAAAAAGAATACATGTAATTGCGATGGAATGTTAACAAGAACTTATAACTTTTCACAATTTCTGGTCCAATTCAAACATGGCTACACCTTTCGCATACCATTCTTACTCTAAGTACATAACTACAGGGCAGTATTGTGGTTGATGGTCAACATGTACATATACTAGTTTTACATCTGGTTTGGCAAAAGTAAGTTACTACAAGTTACAAATCGTGCAGAATTACAAATCAAGCCCAAATTTTTGACTTTCCTTATCCTTGAGCTTAAAAGATTGAAATAAAAATATACTAATTTTATAGTCAAGCTGAAGACCATAAACAAGACCTTTTGTGGAAGGGCCTCACAGGCATTGTATGTGTAGAAGTTTTTCCTGCCTACTGGAATAGACTACTGGGCATAACTTTATATGCATACTTTGAAAGTACCAGACAAAATAATGAAGAATGAAGGCATACAAATTTCTGGTCGAACCAGCAACAGTAGAGGATAACTTTGCTTATCACCCCTCAAGCAAGAATGAAGTTTTATTCAGCTGTAAGTTTAACAAAAGATATCGTTAATTAACAGGAAGGTTTGCCATAATGAGCAGCTTATAAATGCAATGTACCATTGTATGCGCAGAATCGAGAAAATTTAGTAAAGCCTCATAATTTAAATGCAGGTTGAAATGGCAGGAAAGTTCAATGGAATGAAAAAAATCTGTTCTTACAATATTTACAGTCATTTGAAAAGTTTAGGACCACCTGTAGAAAATGAATTAACCTGAAGGAAAACCAAACTTAAACCAATCAATCATGGCAACTTATGTTTATTTTCAATGTGTAACCTTGGTACCTTGGTAGAACATTTTTGACTACATTTCCATGATTTGACATGTTAACAGTCTAATAATCAGTGTGCCCTCCCTTGTTTTTTATTGCTTCAACTGGCTATTTTTTATCCATGATGCCTTGTAGAATGTCATACAAGACCTGTCTTTGCAACCAGATCCCTTGCGGCGTCATCTGTACGGGACAGCCAGAATTTTGGCGATTGTACAGTAGCAAGCAGAAGCAAAAAATTTCAATTAAATGGATATATAGCACTACACTGATGTTATGCACCACTGTAAAATCATGTTAAGTAATCATTCAATGAAACAGTGTAATGCAGGCCCAGTGACAGAAATACCAATAAAATTCAAGGTGGTCTTAAACTTTTGCAAATGACTGTATAGTATCTTTGTAGCATTAACAAATCAAAATATGTACATGTACATTGTTTATCTTCACAAGAAAGAAGGTGAAGTGCTTATGACACAAATGCTTGTGTGTCACAAATTCAGTTCACATAAACTCGCAAATCAATGTTACAGCCAGGTACATGTATCATGGCCTATTTTCTTGGAAGCTGATACTCTAAGGTACTGATGTTTTAACATTACAGATTCATCCTTTCCCATACTGAGTACAAACTCAAGTACCAATATAAACATATCAACACATGAAGATGACTCCTTTAAATAAAAACCAAAGACAAAAAACAAATTTCTTGATACATCCATTATCATATTGTAATTACTGTTACCAATGTTACATAACATTAAACAACATAAATTGGTTTCATTTGTAAAATTGTTGCAAAGATGCATTTTGTCACTGAGAAATGAACATTTTATTATATAAGAGCTATCTCCACAATATTAAGCTGTGAACCTGGGATCACTTAAAATGTTCCTCTCATGCAAACATTGGCAACAGTCCAAAATTATATATTGGTGCTTTGTGTCTGCTTTCAGGAAAGAGCTCACACGAACTGATTTTATTGTATGTAGGCAGTTTGC